GGTACATCGACCGCATTGCTGCAGAAGCTGCACCGATCCGCCTGTCAATCTCCCGTTCCATCCTTCCCTCACTCGTGCACAAGACCCCAAGATACTTGAACTCCTCCACTTGAGGCAGGAACTCTCCACCAACCTGAAGGGAACAAGCCACCCTTTTCCGGCTGAGAACCATGGCCTCGGATTTGGAGGTGCTGATTCTCATCCCAGCCGCTTCACACTCGGCTGCAAACCGCCCCAGTGCATGCTGGAGGTCCTGGTTTGATGGGGCCAACAGGACAACGTCATCTGCAAAAAGCAGAGACGAAATCCTGTGGTCCCCAAACCGGACTCCCTCCGGCCCCTGGCTGCGCCTAGAAATTCTGTCCATAAAAATAATGAGCAAAATTGTGCATTTAAAATGAGTCTAAAGTCAAGTAATCAAGCGTCTTTAGTTCATTAAAGTGCCTTCAAAGACTTTAAAGGCACCACTAGCTACGTGTCTACTTTACTCATATTTGGTTTTTGTGATTGTCTTTTACTTGACTAACTAAACTGTATTTATTTTACTGCAGCTACCCTACTTCCACGTATGCAGTAACAATTACCAAGAACCCCCCCCCACAATAACAGAACATTAAAACAACGCTTGAGAAACTGTAGCAACACGTAGTAAAGTTTGGCCATTACAGCGAACCAAATCCTCAGTTAAACGGGGTGTATGAACAAGTATAAAGCTGGAGGGGAGTTGCAGACTGACGATCGCACCACTGACAAGTTCTCTTCGGGGTAAACTAAAATTTCCGGCGCAATATTTCAAACTAAATCTTAGCGACCTTGCATAAAACCAAAAAAGTAAAGTAAAATAAAACACATGTATTGAAACATATTCATTCTCTTTAAAACCAGCAGTGATTACACTTACATATTGTTTTGAATGGTAGCTGTAAGTTTTAATAACATAAAAGCATACTAAGGTAAGTAGGCAGCCCAGCACACATACATAAAGGCGATTTCAAAGGGCTTTACATACAGTTAAACTAGGAAAGAAATTATGTGCAAGGCTATTAGCGCCATCTACTGGTACTGTGACTCATCCTAGTAATTCTGATAGTAGAACAATAATAGAATATAATAATAATGTGAGGCTTTTAATTACATCCCACAGTTGTGCTTGGTAAACAGTTTGCTCTGGAGATGGGTAAAAAATGTGATGCGTTCTGCTTTTATTTTGGACGCGCGTTCATATAACTTCCGGTCACTTCCTGCCGTGCTCCGTTTAGCTTCACGTTGGTCGAAAGTAGCCCCAGACAGTGCGTGCAGGCGGGCAGGCACATTGGAGGAACCGAGAGGAGAGGGTATCCTGGCAGCAGCAGCAGGAGGAGGAGGAGAACCTGTTCGCCAACTTCACACAGCTTTCACTGCGCTGCTTTACGAGCACGAGCTCCACACTCCGACACAAATTCTCACTTGATTCAAAAAGTTAACGTTTTTCTACCGAGAAGGTGAGGATCATCATCAGTGCCTGAGTGTGAGAAGTTAACGCTAACGATGTCTGGATCCTACAGCAAAAGTTTGTACCCGTTCAGCGGGGAGCAGCACCAGCAGGGACTGAGCTTCGAGGCCGGTGAGATTATTAAGGTGGTGCAGGCTCTGCCCGGAGGCTGGTGGGAGGGAGAGAAGGATGGTGCCAGAGGATGGTTCCCCTCAAGCTACGTCCAGGTCCTGGAGGTAAGGTTCTATAGAGGTGGTATTATTAGGTTATTTCTTATCACTTATTGAAACTTTACACACACAAAAAAATCCAATTTTTTTTATTGGATCTTAAGGGAGTTTTGAATTGTTTCTGTCCTGGATTTCTTGTGGAAAAACAAATTAGATCAAATATGTATTTCAGTCCTCTCTCTGTCATACACACACACACACACACACACACACACACACACTCACAGACGCACATAGAATGTTGATGCCAGACATACACATGCGCTGGCAGATGAAGACATCACTGAGTGATGCACTAACAGTTTTCCCCTGCTGTCCTTATCAGCTGAACTGTAACCTTCACAGCAGCCAGCTCCCTGCCTGGCTCAGGCGATGCACACTTCCTCATTCCACACACATTCCTGTGAAAAACTCAAGTCTCCTCTCTGAGCACGTGAATGCACAGGACCTCTTTCTCTCTCCCCATGGTCCCCCCCCCCCCCCTCCTCAGTTTAGAAACCCTGCTCCTGCTGCAACCCAAAAAACATCTCCCAGTTTTTTTATTTATATCTTTTGCCTCAGCAAATTTGGCTTTGTGATTATATTGGAGAAAATTGAGTTTGTGGTGCAGTCAGTGACACCACCCAGTACTCTGACAGTTTGTTATGATCAGCTTGTATCCAAGAGTGCCATGAGTGAGCCCAGCATTCTCAGCTATGCCCCCAGTTCTGACATTTTTATCACTTTTCCATTCTGAATGTGTGAAGATAGACTGTGTACAGTGACATGATTTGCGTGCCAGTGACGCCAGAGCAGTCATTATTTTAGAAACAATCGCCAGTACCTGGAACATGAAGACATGAACTTGCATCAGCAGACAGTTCAAACACCACATCCCTTATCTGGAATGGAGCTGCTAGGAGAGGCAGCAGGGGTGGTGCCAGGAGCAGAGAAACTGTGCCTTAGGGGCAGGACCTGCAGTTTCATCAACTCACTGATTTTTAAGCAAAAATGCCAAACGCAAAAGACATTTTTAGATGTCAAATGTGATGATTTGCTGCTCTTCTCTGATTTATTAACCAGGATTACCATTAGGTTTTGAGCTGTCAGTGGACCTTCAGACTGAAACCAGGGCTGAAAACAGTGCATGGGTGGGGGGATGCTTTAGGTACTGGTGAAACAGGTCCAGTTTCAGTTGCATATCTATGAATTTGAAGGCGTATCAGATGCAGACACACATTACAAACCATTGTGCTGTAACAAAACGACTCCTGAAAGTTATCAAGTCATCACGGTAGCAACTATTTTATCTTTATCCCATGGTAAATAGTAGAAATACAGACCTCGTCTTACAAAGGAATCTACCAGGAATGCATGCTTGCAAGTATTTGAGTGGCTGGTGCAGTGCCTGGCTGGGTAATGTGGTGTTGTGGCACCTTGCTGCACTAATGGACTGGCTCTAGTCGAATTAGGAGAGTGTGGTCAGAAATTGGTCTCAACCTTAGTCAGACAAAACAAGCAATATGAAGTTGAGCTAGACTGATAGGTCGACCCACATCAGCTTTTTGCAGGTTAAACGGCATCAGCATCTATGTTGGCTGATAAATAACAGGAACGTCCAGGACAGAAGATACAGTATGTTTGAGGTACAAGCAGCATTCTGTTGTTTTTCTATCACAATCAGTTTTTTTTGGCCTATAGTTGGGCTGTTGTGTCTATGACAACTGAATATATTGGAGAAACCAATGTTTGATTTCTCCAATATATTCAGTTGTCCCTCAGCTGGGTGTGTTGACATTTTTTTTATATACAGTGTGTGAGTGTGTGTGTGTGGTGTGCCTTTGTATTACTTACATCATCAGGACTTAACACACTCACACTGTGGGGACCAGAAGCTAGTCCCCACAAGGAAATCACAGAATTTTAGGGTGACAACATGGTTTAGGGTTAGGTTAAGTATTAAGGGTCAGGGTTAGGTGTTAGACAAGTAGTGGTTATGATTAAGGTTAGGATAAGTCTACAGGAAATGAATGTAGGTCAATGTTAAGTCCCCACAAGGAATGAAAAGACACACACACAGACATATCTATAATACTGATGCAGAACTAGATGACAGTTTAGCCCTTAAGGTGGGCTAGCAACAACAGCATGCTAATCTGATGGAGAATCTGACTTCTCACACACAAATGAAGTCTGTTAGCCCACAGTGGCGAGGACTGTGTCTGTGGCCTGTAGGCTGTGGCGGATGTTCGGGGTGCTGTGGCTTCAGATGTCTCACCACTCACCCAGCCTTCCTGTCACATTGTCCTGTTCTCTGCTTTTGAGTGAAACCAAGTAAAAATACCCCATAAAGCTGAAAGAAGTGATACAACAGTGAAGTGGGGAAAAGGGCTGTGGTCACTCAAACAGTGGCAGCTGTGTCTCTACTGATATGTTAGTTTCACCTCATATTCTCTGCATCTATAACTGCTCTGAGGAACTCATGTTGGCTTGTTTCCATTCTTTGTACAGTATTATGTTAACTGGCCGCTAGCTAGAGCTTTATTTATCAAGCTACTTTATTAAAGAAGGATTACATTTACAGACAGATGCTGCCAAAATGCAAATAAAAATGCTGCTGTTTATATTTCTTCTTGTAAATGCTAGCTGCCAATACAGATCAGTATTGATATTATTATCCCTTCTCTGTTAATTATATTTGGCTTCACGATGAGTTTCGGTGTTACAGTAGTTAATCAGGAGAGGAGATACGTCACATACTTGAGGCTGAACCACACATAATGAGAGTGGAGGTTCTCCTCCTCCAGTCTTTCTTCATTGTGTCATCAGGAGGTTGATCAAAAGTTTTGCGTAGGCTGTAGGATGGCATTGTGTAATGACTGATGGTGAAACAAAAGCCACTTCTCTATTTCCTCATTCTGGTAATTTATTCAAAACTCATAGGGGAAATCAACTATCACTCCTTCAGGCCATTACACTGTTGTCCCACTTTCATAGAATCCTAAATGATCAGAAATTCAGGCTGATGTGCGTTAATCACTGAGACAAGTATTTGTATAGCTGGCAAAGTTGACAATGCAGCTTTCATCTGCCTCTGTTGTCATCTTCAGCATTGTAACTTTGTTCTACAAACGACTCCATTCTTCCAAGCATAATGAATCATTCACAACCTGTTGCTGCTTGGTGCATCACATGCTGGTTAGGCTGTTTCTTATTGAAGCCTTCATTCAAATGGACATTCAATGTGTAATTTGATCATGCAGTTTGAAAATACAGGGGCGGGGGTTTGGGTATTTTCCTAAAATCTGTAAGTAGCAGTCCTCTAGTAAAACCTAAAGCCAGTTTATTTCGTTGAACTGGTCATACACGCTGAGTTATAGTCCTTAACAGCTTGTCAGAGTGCAGTTACACACTCTTGTTGCTCTGGGGTCACACATTCCCATAACAAATCAGGACTCTTCTACAAGTGTTGAAATATTAACATGGGCAGTTAATGTGTAATGGAAGCCCTGCAGCTGGGTCTGCCAGGGGCCAAATTTTAATACTGAGCTCAACTATTATTATAGCATCATGTATTGTCTATTTAGTGTGAATTACTGTGTGTTATCATATCGATGTCTAGCCAGGGGAACTACTGTAAGCAATTTGCAAAGAGCTGTAAATTATGGAGAACCATTTTGTCACTGTAACGCTTCTCCTGGTAGAGTGTCAGCTGTGTTTATAATGAAACTGTAGAGCTGATAGCAATTTGAGGGTGTTTGGGGCAGGGTGGGG